ACCACATAAATCTGTCACTGTGGCTTTTGCTCTCCACTCCTTAAAGCATAATGCCCAGAGAGACATCAAGTTCAAAGGCCCTGAGCGGGGAGTTGGGTCCCAGCCCAACATTTAAGGAAGGTCAAAGAGTGTGACTGGAGTGGGGGGAGGGAAGGGGAAAGGAGGAGAGAAGGTTCAAGAGGTTGAACCCGTGTGCCCTCTCCTCACCCCAGCACCCACACATCAGTGAATTAATCAGACACTGAAGCCTTGACTCGGACCAAGTCAGTTGAAATCCGGCCACCCGCTTCCCAGGGGGAAGGTGGTCTTGGGGAAGCCAAAGGAAAAAACGTCAAATTCTTGGCTCCTGAGTTTCCAGAGGCAGGTCTAGGTGTATGTAGGTGGGAAGGCTGAGGACAGGCACAGGTTCTTCCAGTCCAACCCACCTGCTGGGGACACCCCCTTGCTTGAGCCCAGAGCACTTCCCCATCACCCTCATACCTCCAAGGGAAGAAGGAACCTGACTCTGGGGTCTCACCAAGTAGGGGTGGTGCTGGTCCACCCCACTCCTGTGTTGCACTTGAATGGGACTTCTAGCTGGCCGGTTGGCCTCTCAGCCAGGCTGAGTCCCCTGAGGGTTGGGTCTTGGCCTCCTTCCGGTTGTATCTGTATGTCTAATGTGAGGTTGGGTTCATCACTCTTGTACACTTGTTTGCTCTCCTCCTTGGGTTTGGCTACCTCTGCATATCAAGGGAGCCAGATTTGTTGAGAAGTTTATAACTTGGATTCCATGTGTCCTTTGGGAGACTCAGGGGATATGAATAATAGGTGAAGTTGGGCTTATTATGTTAACTTTTCTTTAGCTTTTATCAGATCCTTTTTTATTTTAAAGAATAATACACACACACACACACACACACATATACATACACACACACACACACACACACACACACACACACACATACACACTTTTTCTGAGTCGGAGTCTCATTCTGTCACTCAGACTGGAGTGCAGTGGCACGATCATGACCACCACAGCCTTGACCTGCTGGGCTCAGGTAATTCTTCCATCTCAGCCTTCCAAGTAGCTAGAACTACTGGCACATGCCACCATGCCTGGCTAATTTTTTGATTATGGTAGAGATGAGTTCTCACTAAGTTGCCCAGGCTGTCTCAAACTTATGGGCTCAAGCAATCCTCCTGACTTGGTCTCCTAAAATGCTGGGATTATAAACGTGAGACACCATGCCCAGCTTTTATCAGATTCTTAAAGCAGCTGCTGATCTTAAAGTTGAGACCTGCTGGGATGGAGGATATATAAGGTCCTCTAGAGTTAATGCAAATAGTGCCTACTATGTGCTAAACTCTTTCATATCTTTTTACCTTTTTAAAAATTAGAAACAGGGTCTTGTTATGTTGCCTAGACTGACCTCAAACTCCGAGGCTCAAGCAATTCTTCCATCTCAGCCTCCCAAAGTGCAGGATTAAAGGTGTGAACTGCCACGCCCGGCTGCTTTCATATTTTATCTCATGTATTATTCATTCTAACCTTGTGGGGTAGGTATTAACTGTATCCCCAATTTATACAAAACGTGACCAACCTCAAGGGGCTAAGGGCCTGGTTTGGGTGGGAGAGCTGGGACTCGAACCCAGGGGCATGCTCAGGGCCTTGGTCCTGTGTACTCACTCCTCCATCGCAACTCCTTAGGAATTCTGTGATTCTTAAAACAACTAGACTTCCCTTACCCATTCTGGTTTCGTTAGCTGGAATGTTCTGTAATTTTTATTTGATTTGATTTTGACTTTTAGTTTGTGCTGATCACCTCTTTGGGTAACACAAGTCTTCACATTGTAAGACACATAATTCCTTTTCTCTGTGACAAACTTATGTCTTCTTTCCTCTAGGTGAACCCTGAGTCCTAACACCCTGGAATCTGACAAACAAAACGGAATTTTTTTGGGTCCCTACCTGGTATTCTGATTTTCCAAATTTCTTAAGTCCAAGTGAATAATTGAATAAGTAATATCTCTTTTTTGCTTCCATTTATTTTTGTTTTAAAGAGGTGGGGTACAATTCAGGATTAGGCATACAGGTGGTCTTCATACAGGTAAAGTTTGCCTTTTTTGTTTTTAGATAGTCTTGCTCTGTCGCACAGCCAGAAGTGCAGGGACATAATTAAAGCTCACTGCAACCTCGAGCTCCTGGACTCAAGTGAGTCTCCCACCTCAGCTTTCCAAAGAACTGGGATTACAAACGTGAGCCACCATGTCCAGCCTAATACCTCTGTTAATAGCTACTGTTTATGGGGTGCTTACTAAGTACCTGGCATGGTGCTATTTTAGCCTCATGATCTCATTTGATCCTCCCAGTGACCCTATGAAGTAGGTACAATTATTATCTCTGATTTATAGTTAAGGAAACTGAGGTTTAGAGCGTTACATAGGTTGCATAATGTCAAGCTAACTGGCAGAGATGGGATTCAGCCCAGGTCTGAAAGGATAACTAGTACTTCTCTTGCCAAGCCACTTGCCTCTTTCCTGGGGTTGGCAGATTTATCCCTAGGCATGCATCAGTGGTGACAAATGACCCAGCAGTGTTTGGGTGGTTGAAGAGGATTAAGCAGTGCTGCCAGTTGGGAAGTCCAGGCAGAGAGGACCTGTGTGCCCCAGGGACTCTTCATCAACTCCCATAGTCTGGCTATAATAAGGTGACTTGGGGAAGCTAGCATAATGTAGACTCTGGCTAGAGAAAGATCTGGAACACAGCACTCTGGGGGATGTGAACCACTGTTTGGCCAACCTTCCTTCTGGAAAGAAACAGGAGGCTGCCACTGTCTCTCTGTGCTGCCTGGGTGACCTCCAACACTAGCAATGAATGAGATCATCAAAACTGGGCAGCTCAGGAAATGTCTTTGGTGCCTGCGGCTTCAGATATCCAAGGACCAAATCATAACTTGCATCTGCCCAGTGATTTGCATGTCAGTGTTTATACCACAATGATCTCACTGAGTCCTTTATGCTTCCTGGTGGTCTGTGATGATCATGTTCATTTGCCAGACCAGAAAAAGCAAGATGAACTGCCCAAGGTCATGCAGAGTCGAGACTTGAACTCAGGACTCACTGACTCCAAATCCCATTCACTTGCATTAGACCGTTCATTTTTAAATGTCATTCCGCGGGACCCCAGGGTGATGGGACAGGCCAGAGGAAAGGGCTGAGGAGCAGGAGGCCTTAAGTCAGGATTCTGTGTAAGGTTTGTTGGAATATTTGTGTTGTTAACAAAATGTTTTTGGAACTGCCCCAAGCGATTCCTTCTTCTCTGAGAATGGGAAGGCTTTTCTTTTCTTAGGAGTACCTTTTCTCTCCAGGAGCAAGAAGAAGGCTGCTCTCTGCTGGAAGATATACTCAACTCCAGGATGGAGACACAGGGGAATGTAAAGGGTTCTGGATGAGGAGGCGGAAGGCCTGGGCTCTAGTTCTAGCTTTGGTGTGACTTGGCAAAGTTATTTAACACAGTCTCCCCATCTGTAAAAATGAGGGAGGTGGCCCAGATAGTTACTAAAGTCCAATTCATTCATCTCATATAACCAGTGGGTCTCAGATATCATGCCTAATTCATAGATCTTAAATGGGAAGTGAGCCACTTAAAATTATATTAAAATGTTGTAAATTTTTTTATGTGTATGTGCATTTTTCTGGAAAGAATGTCTATAGCTTTCATCAAAGTCTGTGATATAGAATCTCTGGTTCCCAGGACTATTATTTTCTTTTTCATTTTTTGGCAGAACTGCTGGCAATCTTGTTTCTCCTTGTAGGGTCATCAGATTGTAAGAATGGTGTAAGGAAGCTGTTTGCAGTAAGAAAACAAGAGTAACCTACAAAGATAAGCAAAGGTAACACATGAGAGCTAGCTTAAAGAATAAGAGGCTGTGAATAACCTGGCAAGCTTGTTTATACCCTGGATTCAGCCATACCTGCTATCCCTACACTTTTCAACTACATGAACCACTGACTCTTCCTCCTTTAAGTATTGTCTGTTTCAATGGTCCACAGAATGAATGATTGATGTGCTCTGGCCACTGAAGCTCAACTTAGAAAAGCAAAGTAGGGCCGGGTTCGGTGGCTCAGCCTGTAATCCCGCGCCTTTGGGAGGCTGCGGTGAGTGGATGGCCTGAGCCCGTGGGTTCGAGACCCGCCTGGGCAGGCGAGACCTCATCTCTACAATAAATAAAAAAAAATTAGCAGGGCATGGTAGCGCATGCCTGTAATTTCGGCTACTTGGAAGGTTGAGGCGGAAGGATCGCCGGAGCCCAGCAGGTCGAGGCTGCGGTGGCCGGCCACTGCACTCCAGTCTGGGTGACAGAGTGAGACTCCAACTCAAAAAAAAAAAAAAAGAAAAGAAAAGTAGGGAATGAATGGGATGGGGAGGAGAATTTCTTCCATGCTTTTCTGAATCTCTCAAGAAAAATGTTTCGTATTTTGTTTCCTGTCCTTCATTCTCTTTCAAACTGGGAAATTTTAGAGGCAGAAAAGACCTTAGAGTCAACCCCAGTACAGATGGGAAACCAAGACCCAGAGGGAGGTTGTGACTTTCTCCCATACATAAATTAGTAAATCAGTAGCAGGGCTGAGACCAGACCCAAGTCACTGACTCCAAAGAATGCTCCTCTCTTGGGTGACTTTCCTCAGTGCTTCTTCCCCAGGCAGGCTCATGAGTTAGCAGAGCTCAGAAAGTTTCTTGTGTCCCTGCGTGTTGCTGGGTCACAGGGATCCATATCTTATCCAGAAACTTCTGCATTTTGGATTCCTTTTCAGGTTCTGTGGGCACAGGCAAGCAATGGAATGTCCGGCCTGGGCATGCAAAGAGGAGCGTGAGAGAACCAGCCCATCTCTCCGCCTGGGTTCCAGACCCTCCTTAAACACCAGCCAGGGAGCCCCAGCCAGGATTGGTATTCTAGCGATCAGGGCCAAGCCAGACATCGCCTGGTGTCGGTCACAGCAGGAGGATGCACGCGCTGCTAAAGCCGGAAAGCAGGATTTATGCCGCAAGTCCAGGACGTCAATTTCAGCCACAGGGTCAGATTTGCATAGCCCCGGAGGTCACTAATGGCAAAGGCATAAATGGGACCAAGGGGATCCAGCACAGCTGTTGCCCACAGGACCGGAGGAGGGGCACTGGCTGCGGCTTCGAAGTGACAGCAGGCCTTCTGGGATGGAGGCCGCAGGGCAGAAGGAAGGCGATCAAAGGAGCCTTAGACCTAGAACTGGGTCAAAGCCGAAGGGTAAGAAAAAGGAGAAGCAGGGCTCTGCACAGATCACTCCAAGCCGCACAGGAGAAAAGACTTTAATGTCTGACTTTGTTTCCGACCCCACCGAAGTGCCATCAATCAGCGACGTACAAGGAGGGGCTTGAGAGGTACGAAGTCACGAGGCAGACAACGCCCCCGACTGCCTCCAGGGGGCGCACACCCTCGCTCCGCCCCGCGGA